GTGAAAATGGCAATACTGTCAAAATTAATATACAAATTCAATGCAATTCCTATAGAAATCCCAATGACATACATCTCTGAAATACATAAAACAGTCCAAAAATTCATATGGAACAACAAAAGATCTAGAATAGCCAAAAAAAAATTCTAGAGAATAAAGACAACATGGTAGGGATATCCATGCCGAACTTCAAACTCTACTATAGAGTCATAATAACACAGACAGCATGGTACTGACACAAAAACAGACCTAAAGACCAATGGAGTGGAATAGAAGATCCAGAAATAAATCCACATGCCTACAGTCAGCTGATATTTGATAAAGGAGCCAAAGACACACAATGGAAGAAACACAGCCTCTTCAACCACTGGTGCTGGGAAAACTGGGTGGCCACATGCAGAAGACTAAAAGTGGACCCAAGCCTATCACCATGCACCAACATCAACTCAAGATGGATTAAAGACCTTAACATTAAACCTGAATCTCTGAAACTATTGCAGGACAGACTAGGAGAGACCCTTGAACTTATAGGCACAGGAAGGAGCTTCCTGAACAGAGTCCGAGGGTCACAACAAATTGGAGGGAGACTCGACAAATGTGACTACCTTAAAATAAAAAGCTTCTGCACAGCTAAAGCTATAGTAACCAAGCTAGAAAGACAACCAACTAATTGGGAAAAAATATTTACCAGCAGTATATCAGACAAGGGGTTAATATCCAGTATATATAGGGAACTCAAGAAACGAATCCCACCCAAACCTAACAAACCAATTACTAAATGGGCAAGGGAACTAAAGGAGACTTCTCAGATGAAGAGAAAAAATGGCAAAGAAACACATGAGGAAATGTTCACTATCCTTGGTTATGAAGGAAATGCAAATAAAAACAACCCTGAGATACCAACTTACCCAAGTCAGAATGTGGGACATTCTGACTCAAGTCAGCCAACGACAAATGCTGGAGGGGATGTGGAGAAAGAGGAACCCTATTACACTGCTGGTGGGAATATACACTTATATAACCATTTTGGAAAGCAGTCTGGAGGGTCCTTAGAAAGCTAAAGATTGACCTCCCTTACGACCCAGTCATACCACTTCTAGGCATCTATCTTGAACAACAGGAACCAGTATACAAGGACACATGCACCTCCATGTTTATTGCAGCACTGTTCACAATAGCCAGGATATGGAAACAACCCAGATGTCCCACCACAGATGAATGGATCCAAAAATTGTGGTATCTATACACAATGGAATATTATGCAGCCATTAGAAATGACAAAATAATGGCATTTGCAGG